TCAACTGTGAAATTGCTCCTAAGTAGATCGATGTATTCAGTAGAGAGGTCGATGGATCTCGTCAAAGATATTACCAAGTAGTTTTAATTCATCATCAGCCTCGGATTCCTTGAATATACAGGTGGCCCGTTCCTGTGCAACAGTTATAAGAAGCTGTCCCGCAAGCTTTGAATCTGCCAAAGATTTCATAAGTCGCCGGGAGGTCATCTTTGATTCGTGGCGCTTATCAAGAAGTTGTAACATGGTCTGAGACTGTAGCAGTTCGCCGCCGGCCATAGCTTGAATTTGAGAGTCGTTAAAATTTGTGTCAGTCACGATTCCTGCCATCGAACTTATAAGTTGTTCTAGAATAACTAGATCGGTGGAGTTATTTTTTAGAAGCTGTTCGCCAACGTATTGAAGGACAGGAACAGGGTCCATGATGGTAGAATATCGTTTGAATACCCTACCGACAAAGGATGCAAGGGCATTGAGCCATTTGCTAGTTAGAAGCCCTCCCTCTTGAACCCGACTCCTTCCCTTCTGCCCAAGAGAGTTGATTAGTGACCAGGTAAGGATGTCATATCCTAAGTAGGTGAAATATCTTGCGCATTCCACCACAACTTCAATCAAGTTCTCATATGCTTCGATCTGGTTTATCGCGACGCTGATAACGATTCCCGGATTAGCGTACGCGATTTTTGCCAATGTTCTAGCCATCGGCTTGATGTTGGTTTTGCTTAATCTTTTAAGAGCGTCCTTCGTTTCCGCTCGCGCTTGATCGAACGCGGATTTGATATCAGGAAGTCGGGAAGTTTGGCCAGAATACCATTCAGCATAAATGGAATACCTCACCTCTCGCGGGAAGTGACTTAACAGTGCAAAAACTTCGTTTACAACTCCCGGATTCGCTCTCGTCAAACTCAAAGCAGGGACCAGGAGACGTTTGCAAAGATCTCGCCATCGAGTCCGATTTGAGTCCGACGGATCGCTAAGTAAACTTTCATTCCCAAGCCTGGCTAATTTTGTCAACAGTCCTGGATCCTGTCCGATTTTAACACCAGAAAGATTCAAAAATGATTCACACAAGGCGAATACATCATCTACTGTCTGGCAAATGGGTATATTATCAGTCCAATCGTCCCAGTAAAATCGATAATCTGTTCCATCGTTGGTATCTTCTCTATCTAGCAACGCCCAACGAAGGACACGTCGAGGGGGTCCATCAGCCAAACGGATATGTCCCTTTGGAAGGCTTGCTTGATCCGAACTGGCGATCTTCTTTTGATCCTTAATGTCATTCCTTGACGACATTGGTCGCGACAAACCACTGAGTTTGCTCAGAGAATAGTGTATTATACGGTGGATGTATTCTGGGAGCTCCGGATACGCATCTAATAGCCAAGGAAATCGACCAAGGATGTAAAGAGATTCCGGCAAGGCACCAATAGCAAGCAGGCTTTTCAATAGAAGCACTTTCTGGTCAGCTGGTTCGGGTAATGTGTCTTTGGTCTCATCGACTTTCGATTGAGCCGCCTTATCCGGATCCTGATCCTTAGCAGGTGTTGCTGCGCGAGTATCGGCCTCTCGAGGTCTGGGGGCCGGTACAGGTATGGTGTCATCACTCAGAGCACCAGCCATCATCAAAGCATTCATTGTGCCAGCACCAGGCCTAGAGGCCAGTTCTCTTTGCTCTTTTTCTTTCATTTTCTCTTCTTTCAGCGAATCCATAGACTCATCGGGACGCCAAAGGTGAGGGTAGAGATCCCGTAAAGATATAAAACCAACTTTGATAAGCAAAGCAGCTAGATAGATGAGATTATCGGGTAAGATGTCAAAGGCATTTCGAGCATTGGACGAGTAAAACCGTAACTTGAATCCCAGAAGTTGCGCTGCAACTCTATTTCCTTTTGGTGGGAGCGTTCCCGTTTGCTCGATCCACTTCCGAGTCTCATTTTCATCATCTGGGGCGACATTTCCGAGTTCGGATATGGACTTTAATTGGTCTTGGTCTAATATCTGGCTTCGGCCTATTTCGAAAAATGCACGGATGCCAACTTTGCGAGCTCTGTCCCAGAAAAGACAATCTCGCTTCTCATTCATACGAAGAGCCTCTTCCCGGTCTTCTCTGTGTAGACATCAGCAGATCCAGGTAGCGCCCATTTCGGTAAACCCGGCTCCGAGATTACGCTATATCGGCGAAGGATATTTTCGTCTTTCGGCCACCAAGAGCTGACTCGAAGGAACTTAACAAAGAATCGATACTGTTTCACGAGCACTGCAGCGAATACATCTAGCGTAACGTCAAGTACCCTTCCAACATCCATGTCAAATGCTCCAATCATAGCTTTGACTCTTTCAAAGGTATCCTCAACAACTTCGGCAGACGGGGGCTCATTGTTGCTAGTCGTAAACAGTTCCGTTAACAATTTAGAGTATCCTTCAGACTCTTCTCGTAGTAAGTTATAATTTGACTGTCGATAAAGTAGATTCGTCTGTTTACGAATACCCATACGAGCAAAGGTGTCGCGGATTAGGCCCAGGGACTGTAGTAAAGGGGTTTCGAGCTGTTGTCGCATCAACGAAGCCGAGATTCCTGTCGAAAATACAAAAGTACGAAGATTTGAATGTGAGGCATCCGCGTCTGTTAAAATAGAGAGGGTATCAAGGAAAAGAGAACGTGCATCGAAAATTGGAATAATTGGGTCGCTCAGTTCACCCATGTCGGTTGTCCCATCATCGCCTATAATCTCGTTCACACACGTCCCTCCATCGACTGCAGATATTCGGCCTTCAAAAACTGAATGGATAATTTCCTGGAAGACAGACGAGATAACTGCGGAATCTTTCATATTCCGGGCGCTGATCCCAGCTAAGACGATATTTTTCTTCCCCGTCGACATCCAGCTATCAATGCACTCCTGTGTCACGTAATCGTAAGAATAGTAGGTCGCTTGAGGCTTAGCTATGGCACTAGATATTGGTGTCGATGGCGTCCTACTCGGCTGAGATGGTTCCTGGGGTTCTCTAGGCGATGGCATGACAGATCTCGATGAGGGAGAGCTTTCTTTCTGATGAGAGTTGTGAGCGTCACTTCCTCTCGACACTGGTGTACCGTTCCGATTATTGCCTCTGCTCGTTCTTCTGGCCCCTCTGCCACGGTTGTCCTGCGAATCCCGACCTTGGCCATGGAACTGGTATTGTTGTTGCTGCTGGGCGAGGTTGAGATTTCCAGGACGATGAGGAGACGGTCGCGGGCCATCGTTTCCCGCATCTCCAGACCATGACCTATCGCCGCGTTTACGCTTCCCGCCAGCCGGAGGAGCCATGGTGGATGATTTGGGACGCGTCGTCGCTCAGGCGAATAAAATATGTGGCGTTGAAAGAGCAATTCATGAGGCTTCTACCTGCACTTGTACTGTTGCGAGGACAGGAATGATTCAGTGAGCGCCAGGTTAGGTAGCACGGGAAGATGAAAGGGGAGGATTACCTGTCACGAACTATCCACATGGAATCATGAAACAAGGAGGCCCACAGGCCTTTCACGGCTTCTTCAGCTTTGCGGTGAAATCTTGTTTTGTCTCTGTGAATCGCCTTTTGTCAGTTGGATCCAGATTTCTCAATCTGGTTTAGCCACCTCGATGTGGAACAAGCCGCAAGTATCGCGCGCTAAGCGAAAATTGGTGTAAAGCGTCTAATTCACCAATCACAGAGAGCATCAACCAACTGCATGCCAACGGCTGCCAACAGCCAATATCGAAAAGTACTCGCCCATACCAACTTTCTCTCCAAACATCATGATGGCAATGCTAAAGCAACGACTACTTACTGTTTTTATGCTTCGACATACTTCTGTTAAATTGGGGTGCAATAGGCGTAAAAAGAAAAGCTGCGGATGCAATTGTGCACTCTACGGTATGGAAACCCCTCCCCCCCCCTCCCCAAAAAAAAGGGTCCATACATGAGCGACCTCGCGATAATAATTTATTGCAGAATCATTCTACTTTGTATTAACTACACTAAAGCGATAATGTCAAATATTGATACTCACTAGGGCGATATCGTCAACCACAATCCGAATCACCATTTTAGAGAGTGAAAGTAGGGATAATTAGCTTCTCGCTATATACTCTATCTGAGAGCCCCTCCCGCAAGGGCTAGCACGTAGGTTTTGTCAGTGGTATCAACAATGGCTTCAATCGCGCACATCTTGAGGTGCGTGGGGAGGTTCTATACTGGATAAGAACGAGTTCACAGGATGGCAGCTTGAATATCGGCCTCTGCAACGTCCGGCACAACTGGCTCCTACATCGCCAGTCTGTCACGATCGCAATTTGCAAAAGTATTTGATTTCACGGTCAACTGTCTGCTCTATTGCTTATCGTTTCATCAGCGAGAAGCTCACATATCCATCTCCCTCTTTGTCGTGACTGGTATATACCTTGGTATTCTTGCTCCTGATGGCCATCCAGTGGGTCTGAACCATCGGCACACCCATGTCGCGTCTTGTTACCCTCGTATAGTTCTTTTGCTCGCGGTTGGTTTTCCTCTGGTTCGGCGCCACAACAGGCTCTGGCGCAAGTACTTTCATGCCCATCTCTAAGGTTCCTCTGCTAACCGTTCACCCGTAGTGATGGGCGGCTGGTCGCAAGTTTGCGATGGTTGTCCTTGATGATAATTATGCCTGTGTTCGGCTTCATAAACGGCGCCTTGATTGCCAAATTTTGTACTACGTGCCGTGATATTTGGTGGGCGACCTGTTGACAGTAGCAGAATCCTTCCTCATGCCGTTATGTATGTAGCTGAGAAAGGCAGCATGAGAGCCGAATTTACGGATATAATGCACAGAGAGCAGTTTGCGTAAGGATGATCTGCCAGGCCTCTTTCCAATTACACAAATCGTGGTGGACCTAGGAAAGGTCGTACCGGCCATTGGATTCATAACATTAATCCGGGGAGTACGGATCAACGGCTGCAAGGACCAGATTGTGCAGGCTGCGTGACCTGTGGTCTGTTTATTAGTCACATACCTCGGCCCATCACAGGCTTCTTCCTGCATTGGTGTTGATGATGCTATCTAACATGTCTTCTGAAATTATGGACTTAAGCCCTGTCAGATTGCGTTAGTTATTCCGTTGCCAAAACCCACAAGGGGCGTCAATCAATATTCATCCGCCCGAAATTTGCCGGCCACCGACACAGGTAGCATTCCAATTGACCTGAATTCGGCAGCTAAGGGAGGATCAGCCGGACGTCACACTTAAAATTAACCACAGCTTGAGCTCAATGGGCGGATCGCTTCAAACCTACACAATCATGCACTTCTACCTAATTACAACACAGAACGGGAGGCTGGGCATGGCGTGGCTTGGCACAAAACCTACGGAGTAGCTGTCAATGAGATGAAACAGACACGTGAGAAGCCAACTTGGAAATGTTAGATTGTCTTGATAAATTCTCAAATACACATGGCTATACTAGACAAACACTTGAGATTTATATACAATAACAAGATTTGTATTAGCAACTTAAACTAGATTGAGTCCCTTGGCCCAACTTCCAAATTGATGAAGGGCATATGCGATGAAGGGGTTAGATATAGGAATCAATATCACCCATAAAGAAGGAGGCGACTATTTCAAGCAAGACCTAGAGCTTTCGCTTCAAGAGTGACGATATCAGGTAGAAGTTCACGGGCATCTGGTCGATGCGGATTCCAACCAAGAAGTTTCCTCGCACGAATCGCATGGGCTCTCGAATTAGTTCCCCATGAGAAAGGCCCGAATGCAAATAAATCTGCTGTTTGCTTGTCATCCAGAATTTCCACCTCTGGGGAGGCGATGAATCCTTTCTCAAAAGCAATCTTCGCTACTGCCTTCTCCACATCGCCCCAAACGAACGACCCATTTTCTACAAAATAATACCCTTCCTTTCCCCAAGTCGCCTTCCCGCCGCCAGCAGCCGCAGCCTCGCCAAGGAGGAGGAACAGATCACTCAAATCATGAACATGGATATGGTGCCAGACATTCTCGCCTTTGCCTACTTGAAGCCCCTTCTTTCTCTTAAGAACATATTTTGCCAGATTATATATTTGAGCACTTCGAGTATTTCCCGGCCCTCGCCCGGGGCCATATACAGTGGGTGGGCAAACAATGGCTGTCTTCACCCTATCGGCAGCAGCCTCGCCGACTTCCAAGACGATCTTGTCGACGTCTCGATGAAAAGCTTCGTCGGGAAGAGACGTCACATCACCAATACCGTCCCAGTCATCGTATTCTTTCAGACGAAGATCTCCGTAGGTCGAATTGCCTAAATCCTCGAATGTGAGAATACCCGTTCCCGAAGTGTGGATCCAGTAGCCTGGGCGATCGGATGTATGGGCAGCTATGCCCTTTGCAATGGCTTGTGACGAAGCAACATGGTCACAGTCTGCAAAGTCTGTTCAAATAAAACAAATTGAAAAATTAAAAAAAAAAAAAAAATTAGCAAGCATTTCCTAAAATATTAGAAGAATGTCATGAAGGGAGGCCGTACGGTAGACGATATCTGCCTTTCGTGCCTCTTCTTCAAGAATCGTAGCGGAATCAAGATCCCCGTACACAAGTTTGGTCTTTGGATATTTGCTAGTAACCAACGCCCCTTTCTCCTGATTGCGGACGAGAGCAGTGAACTCCCAATCCGGATGGGCTTCATTGAGACGGAAGAAGGCATCTCCCCCGATGTATCCAGTAGCCCCGGTCCTTCTCTTGTCAGAATGCCTCTCTGGAATGCTCAGTCAAGGTGGTTGGATGGGCTCTTTACTCACACAAAGACCTTATGAGGTGCCATTTTAACACCGTGGGTTGAGGCTCAGGTATAATTTAGTCCGAGGGTGCAGAGTATGTTGAATATCAACCGAATCGCAGTAATTTACAGTTATGGCAATTGGATAGTTTGAGAATAATTGCAAAGTTGTGGTCGCTTTTATACCTGCTGCCCTTGATTTCGATGTTGGGATGGACAGTAGTGGGGTGTCTCCCCCATTCTTGGATTCTGGCGTTTTGCCCGCGATGATGTCATTGGTGACTTTTAACCGCCATCGAGCACTGAGTCGAATCGAACACGTCTCTGCGTACGTTTTACCAAACCCAATGGCTCCATGGACGGATTCTCGACAATAATTAGTTTACGCAGTCGCCATCTAGCTATTTATTTCAGTATCAGCCAAACCAACTGAGCACCTTCCCCCGCCCGCCACAAATAGCTGCCGACGCCCAAACTAGCAGACATGCAAATCCTAGCCCCTTGGAAACTGTTCTCGCGCCCAGTATTTGCAGATAGTTCGAAACGGAAGTTCACCCGCCTGTGGCACTTTGCGGTTTGATACGGCAATGTGTATGGCCTCACTTCATCGGAACCAGCCCGTGCTACCTACTGTCCCTACGCAGAGCCGCGGAAGCAGCAAATATGTCGCAGATAGAGCCTAGGTTATTTTGAGGACCCCTATCGCAAAGTCCCTCAAGAGTAACACTCCTAACAGACCTTTGACACCGGGGGACATGGAAAACCCTGAGAGTTACAGTATACGCAGCCACTCTATTTATACTACGAGGTGTCATGATGTTTCCCAAGCGGTACTGTACATCGCACACAGGCATCTCGAGACCCAGTTTATGGGCATGGTACGGCCATTACTAGTATATAGCGATGGCGAGCTGTACATTCAATGCCTGCTTAAGACCATCGAAGATAACTGAGAAAGAGTCGTCCAAGAGAGGAGTCGCAATGACTTGACTGGTCTCCTGAGCTCTTTTTCTGAAAATCGCTAGACTCAGAAGGTCAAAGAGGGACAACAGGCACGTAGTGTTGAGTTTCGGGGGGAATTCTTGCAAAGGTCTAGGTATTTTCGAATAGAATACCATATTGATGAATTACACGGCACGGAATTGAAAGCGCATGGTGTGAGGGGCGGCTCTTGAACCTGAGTCTCAATGAGTTCAAGGTTGGAATACGTAGTAGTTTTTATGAGAAGCTAGAAGGATCCTCTCTTATCACTAAACTATCGCTAAACTTCTCTCGATTCGCCGACAGGATTGCATATATGTTGCAGTTTGGCATATTTCTCATGCCATAAGACCTCTCCGAAGCACTCACTATGTAAACTCGCTAAGGCGATATATGCCTGCACTGGGCCTTCTTAAATAGTATCAACCGTCACTATCAGCCCGTCCAAAGAGAATGTGGGTTTGAGACGGTGCTCTGACTTTTTTTAAGGGGAAAATTGCCATTGTGGGTCCGATCCACAGACACATTTCGCAAGGTGGGGTTTTGGGGTCGTATGGCTGAGAGACCATGAATGTTCTGATCCCACCTCGTTCCTTTTGATGTAGCTAACTAACTTTGTGGTTAAACCTTTGCCCAAGGCTCAACAGCTACTACATCTGTATATATTCCTGGTATCCCGCAGAATGAGAGTGTGAGAAGTGATATATCATATCGCGGATTCTGTTGATTGCACTAGCAAGGATCTTCTATTATCTCAATTCCGGAAACCGGATCACTGCTCCGATGTATTCTAGCATTCTCTTTCTTATAAATACTGCCTGGTTATCATGTAATTATTGGAGTCATAATAAGCAATTAAATTATTCTTTTGATATTCAGTAATTGGGTCAATATTCGGACTTTATCCAGTTCCGACAGAGAGAAACATTCATTCAAACTCTGCCCACGAATACGTACTTACCATCGGGAATCGCGCCAGCTATTTATTTCATTCTCAGAGGAAGCGAGCTCAAATTCAGAAACGATTTCTCGAAAATAAGATTTCTAAGCAGCTTGATAATATCCAAGATTAGCTAACTACTGGTACATTACCTAGTTACGGATCCAAGATGTTCTTCCCACGTAATACATCTTGTATGCTTCCCGCAACCTCGTATTCTTGACATCGGATTTCACGCCCTATTGGAAATACCCCGCGTTGAGCAAACTTGAAGCCAAGATGTGAAATTTCCCCACGGTATATTATCCGCTCGGGTTCGCCTCCATAATTCCATTTCCAAGTTAATTTCGTTTCCACATGGCTGCTTGACGGGTTCCAAGAAAACACCATTCTAACACATATATATACAATATATTCCCTTCGTTATTAAAAAAAAAAAGAAGAGAAGAGAAAAGATATATACCCCCCCCCTCTCCGAAGTAATATTTCTTCAAAAGTTTAAAAATAAAAATAATAAAATAAAACAATAATGTCCACAACCACATCAACAGCCACAAACTCCCTTCCGGTCCTCGTGGGCGGCTGTGCATGTTCCTACATCCTCTATGCGTCAACCTCCCTTCCTATCTCTATGTCACACTGCTTTTGCGTTGAATGTCGCAAGACCGCGGGCGGACCCTTCCAAACATACGTCCGCTTCCCCACAGCAGCCATCACATGGCTGAACGACCGCCAGCCCAAATATTTCTCGGCTAGCACCTTCGCCCGTCGTGGCTTCTGCGACAAGTGTGGCTCCAGTTTGGTGTTCCAGATGAATGAGCACCCTGAGAGGATTTCGCTGGCTGGGGGCTCCATTGATGATTGGGACGTTAAGTGGGGCCAGAGCGGGAAAGGGGAGGAGAGAGGAGAAGCGGAAGCGGGATCTAAGGAAGAAGGATGGGATACGTTGAATAAATCAACAGTGTATTATTGGGTGAGAGAGAAACTCGTCTTGGTATAAGGTGCCGAATGACGGCTTGGTGAAGTATTTCACGGATCCGGATATTGAGGAGCAGCCACCGGGATTCAGGGGGGAGGAGGGCGGCCCTTTTGGAATGGCTGCACGTAAATAATACCAAGCGTTTGTATTCGGTGTATCTGAGCAATATTTCGCTGTGAGGAGGAAAGGGTCATAGTTTATATTCTTCTATATTCTTCTATATCCTTTGCTCAAGAGGTTCGATGTGAGGGCTCGTTGCCTATATATAATGACAGGGAATTCTATCGAAATGCAAGGAGCAGGTTGTCGTAGTCGTTTGCTTCCCCAGACTTTTATTGTCCAGACAAACAAGTAAACTGCAATGCAAGATATCTCATTCATCTTCCTAATCCCAAGAAGTTCAGCATAAGTTTCTCCACGTGATCTTTTGAGGGCCTTCAACACACCATAGAACCACATAACACTCAATATAAAAGAAATATCAAATAAAAACAATGCTTCTTCTTTTCTTCACCATGAGTCTCCATCAGTGATCACACCTTTATCTGTTTTGACATTCTTTCCCTTGGACTCTGTTCTTTCATTGGTTTTCCATCATCATATCCATTTCAACTGCTTACCCCTTTTCTCCTTGGTTGGGAACACAAAGCAAAGAGCAACTTCTCTTTGTCAATAACTTTTAAACCGTTCAATATTTCTGTCATCTTGATCGTCTTGACTTTTGCTTATTGCGAGGCTCCTTTGTCGTTGTCCGGCCGCATATATCCCATCTGGACCACGAAAAAAGAATCATTCTTTGACTTCTTGGCGAATCGGTTCATTTAGATCCTCTTTTCGAAAACATCCTTGGAGCGTTTCCTTTCGGAGTCAATTTGTTTTTGCTGTTGGTTCAACCCTGGATCAACCCACATTCTCGTAACAACGCCCGGAACGCAATTCAACTTGTAATAGATTTCCAAATTTCAACAGAGAATACCCAACACCAAGGACATTTCATCAAGCGACAACAGAAGTATCCAAGACTTCTGTAAAAATATTTCATTTCTCGGGTGGATAAGATTTCCGTTTTGAGAGGTTTCGTTTCAAGAACCGGCTTTTTGCGCTTATTTTCTCCGATTTTGGACACAAATAAACATCATTTTCAACGTTCATTGCGGTTTGAAATACCCAAGGACGATTCCTCCCGCTATCTCGTGGTGAAGAAGGAAATGGCTGAACATGATCCCTCCTTTCTCCATTCTAGAATGCTTGACCCGCTGGATAGCCCTGGACCAATTCCCGTGGAGTATTCTCGACAGAGCCAGTCTCTGACTGCTGACATACTAGAAACGAATAGGCTAGCAGGCCTCCATCCCACAACCGCATGGCGTCCTGAAATCCAAACAAGCCAGGCAAGAGCAGCACTTCTCACCAGTGAAGAGTTCCATCTGATGTCAAGATTTTCATTTCAACCCAACTCAATGCCAAACACTGCACAACGATCTTTTTTCACAGGCTTGCAGGGAAGTGTATCAGATAGACACATGCTTGAAATGGCAAATGAAATGAGACAGGCTCAGCAAGAAGAAAATAGACATTTGCAGGCACCACAGCTAAGAGTAGACACCCCGCATGTGCAGAACAATGGGAACCAATTTCCTCTTCAAGGCAGACATTCTCTACCATTCACAATGGGGCAGCAAGCTGAAGCACAGCAAATCTATCAGACCTCTCAGCCTCAACCTCACTCTCAAATTCAATCAATGGGTCAAGATATGCAGAGAAGTATTTCGCAGCAGGGCTTGCAGCAATCTGAGTCAAGAGCCAGCACTTCTGAATCAAGGAAGGAAAGGCCTTCAGTCAAGCACCTCACTTGCTGGTGGTGGAATGAGAAAGGCAAGTGCAAATACACTGTGGATGAATGTCTCTATGCGCATCATAAGACAGGAAGGGTCGCTGATGCGCCAAGACAAGTGAAAGCAGGTGGTAAGTCACTTTCAAGGTTGTTTAAACTCTTTGCAACAGTGAAGAGAGCAGACTCACTTCACTATTTGTCTGCCACTTGTCTTACTCCCAGGAAGTTCTGATATTCACTTTCATCTTCACCTCCCTTTCATTTTTCACCCACCCCCACGTATCTCTGCTGTGTTGATACACAATACCACCCCCTGCTCCACTTCTCTTGCTATCTATCCAAGTGGCATATTGACCCAACCCTTAATGTATAAGCCCTTGGGCTTTCATATCCTCTGGAGATAGCAGGAGGTTGAGACCCCTTGCCCTTTGTGTTTCCTCATCTGTGATATGTCCACTCAAAATGCCATTAACTCGACGCTCCCCGTTCAATGCTGACAATGAACTTTACAGAGCCCCCGGTTGCGGGAAGGAAGCTCATGAGGGCCCTGAGGGAGGAGGCAGAAGAGAGGGCAAAGCGAGCGCCAGAGCGAGAGATGAGCAGTAAGTTATTCTCATTCCCATCATAGATCCAGTTTTCGAACGCGCCTCAACCGTTGCAGCATTGGTTTTCCTGACAGCTTCATCTAACCCTCACTTCCACCTCACCATCCCCCTGACAACATCAGAAAGCAACTAATAACCTTAATGCCTTCGCAGTCCTCCAAGCCCAGAACAAAGCCCTTCGCGAGGCCTACACCGCTCTGAGCTCGACAACCTCGCAATCCCTCTCAGCGATCTCCACCCTACGACAGTCTCTCACAAGACTGACCGTAGAAGTAGGTAATGTTGAGAGGGGCCATGCGGGTCTTCTCCCGCACTCCACCACACCAGAATATGGCAAATATCAAGTAGACTCGCAGTTGGCGCGCGTCCTGAGAGTCGTTGAAGACGAGGGTCTGCTTGCAGGCGTGGGGGAGCGGCAAACACGGGCACAGGTGGTGCGAGTGGAGGCGTCTTTGGTGGCTGTGGGGTTGGGGGAACTGGTCGAGGACGGGAAGCGAAGAGCAGTGACGTCAAGAGGGTGGTGAGTGGGAGTGGGCTGTAAGAGTCAAATTTTCTCGTTTGTATTATTATTTCTTTTGTTTGGTTATTGTGGCGCAATGGGTATGTAAGTGTGACTATAAATCATGAATTCATATTATGAAGCAAGGTGAATTTCGTCAAGAAAACAAGTACAGAATATGAATAAAGAGAAAGGTGACGCAGAAGTGCAAGTTTTCAGTGGCGGCTGCCAGACGCAAAGGAAAGGAGCAGAGGAAGAGAAGATGATAATGTCTCGTCATAATCTACATATCATGCCGGGTCTTAGAATGTACTTGTGGCCAAGCGGCTTGCCGCATTTTTAGCGTCCACTCGATCGTCATCCTCTTCCTCAGGCAGACCAATCATTCCCGACCCGCTGAGTGAGCGGCTATGTGATCTCCCTCCATTAGACTGAACCTCATGCTCAAGAATAGGTGAGACAAAACTTCCACTTATGCTTCGATTTAAGCTGTCACCGCGGCGCGGTACGCCACTCCATGCATCGCCTTTGGGACCCTGACTTGCTGCCAGGCTGGCCCGACGAGCCGCAGGATGAGATTCGCGACCCAGCCGGCTCAGGCCGCCAGAGGCATCGATTGAACGGATGTCTGCCCGGACGCTTTCAAGTGTGCTAAGAGTGCGACGCTCAGCCTCTATTTCCCGGAGGGTATATTCACGGATGCTGAGTAGCATGTCAGACGTCGTACGCTTAAACCATCGACGCTTTTCTTGCAGGAGGTTAACTGTTACGCGTTGGGTTTTCTTGGTTAAGTATTCTTCATGGGCTTGCGCGTCCTCGAGAGAGCTGATGGCTTCGTCAACCTTTTCAGGGCGAACGGAGGTGCTCCCCTTCAATCTGTCGGCGGCGGCGCGCTTGCTTCGCGCGGTCTGTTGAGCTTGTATCAACTCCCGAAGCAGGATGTGTCGGTTCGTCAGGGTCTCTTTGACGATAAAGGCATCAGATGAGTGGTAATTTAGAGGGTCACCAAAGGTAGTCGCCTCTGCAGTCCCCTGTGCAGCGTGGTAGTCACCAACTGCTTGAATTACTTTCCCGAGTTTACGGTACGCATTAGCGAGGCCCGGGTGGGTTTCTTGGACGTGCATCTGGCCCACTTTTACGCCGAGATCGGATTCTGCGAGAGCAAGACCTTTAAAAATGAGTTAAACGCTGTCGCTACCAAATGGGACTTTGTATGCTTACTTTTTCTGGCTTTCACAACACGGTCTATCTTTTGGCCTGTATCCATCGTTCCCAAATAGAACAATTTAACAACAGGGCGTGCATCTTGTAGTTCTGGCGTATCATCTGGAGGAGGTGCAAATTGTTTCAGCACTTTTCGCCGGACTCCAGTCGCTGGCTGTTTCATTCTAACGACGGGGCTATAACCGAAATCACTCTCGACGAAAAGAATCATCTCATCATCCTGCATAAGAGCGTCATTGGCACAAACGTAATTGAACCATCTCTGCATTGACGCTTTCACCCGAATCTCATCCTCATCGGTTCCTGCGCCAGCTGGTGTCAATGGAGGAGGTACGGCTGGCACAATTGCCTCAGGGTTGGAGGATATTAAATGATCAGCAAGCTTGATAAACTCAGAATGTGTTCGACGAACGTCGCGGAATTGTGTCGTTCGGAACTTGGGTATGTTTGTCTGTTACAGTAGTAAAATTTAGCAAACCACAGAGTCTGCAATTGGAAACGGTTGGGACGTACGTGCACGTCAAACCGCAAGATAGGATCCTTTTTTCCAGTCCTCTCCAATCCCGTAATTTTAGCCTGTAATTTGTACTGGGGAGCACTTGGGCGCACTTTATTTCTTGCTCCAGTTTGATACCTAGCCGAAACTTGTGCTCGTGGCGGAGGTTGTTGCTGAGAATTGGAGCGGGGGTGGATGGTGGGTTCTCCATGGATTTGGTCTTCGATCTGGGAACCTTGGAGTCGCTCGGATAGATCCCGCGTTGCAGACTCTTCACCTTGATGGGGTTCATTGTCTGAGCCGCCATATGGTGACTGGGGAGACAACGGAGATGGAGGAACGTCAGATGCGGGGAACGTACGATCGGCTCGAGGTGAAGTCGAACCCCACGGGGATGAGTCGACAGGATGTTCTGGATCGTGTGGAAGTGACGAATAGTCCATGATGGCAGCACTTTGTTCAATGTATTTTAAGGGAAAGTATGATTACCAGACAAAAGGTCGTAGGCACATTAGGGAGAAATCAGGACAAGCACGAGGCACCGGCAAGCCACGGGTGATTGTACCAGGTCCCAGGGTCGGAGCTGCGAGAGACAAGAAAAAAATTGTCGTAATTCCGTTATGGAATTCAGAGATTGCTAAGATATAACAGTTGAAGAAATGCTTCACAAGCGCGAGGATGGTATCCTCTGCAGAAGGCATCAATAGAAGGTTGAAGGCTGAGTGGATGCGGATGGCGCTAATGGCGCTTGAATGTCTTAGCGCCGAATTTTAGACTTCGCGGGTAAATTTTTCGTTTGACCATTTGACCAACTCTGCAATTCGCAGCCAACAAGGATACTAGGATTTATATGTGTCAATTGGTTGTTTGTCATTGCCTTGCTGGTTTTAAATGTCAACTTAGGAACCATTGCGGACTGCATTCCGCTCCCATTCACTCTCCTTTTTGCCAAATATGATCCCAATTGGCTTACCCTCAACGTGGATCTGTTCAAGGTGTATCCGGAAGACTACTAGGATATTACCAGCAATCCCAACTCCATATTTTCACTCAGTTCTGCGCCGATATTCAACTAATGGAGCTCAGTCGTCAGAGTCCGCTGTGGATCTGGACAGAGTTCGGAATATTGGGATCATTGCTCACATTGATGCTGGTAAAACAACAACAACAGAGCGCATGCTTTATTATAGCGGTGTTACCAGAAGGATCGGAGAAGTTGATGATGGGTCCACTGTGACCGATTTTCTTCCGGCTGAAAGAGCTCGAGGCATTACAATTCAATCGGCTGCAATCACATTCGATTGGCCTCCACGACCACCAGAAGAACATACAACACCAACACCTGAAGAGCTAAAGGCTAGAGGACTTCCCAGATCAGCAGTGTCACATACCATCAATCTTATCGACACCCCTGGTCATGCAGACTTTACGTTTGAAGTTGTACGCTCTCTCCGGATCCTCGATGGTGCGGTCTGCATTCTAGATGGAGTAGCAGGAGTTGAAGCGCAGACAGAGAAGGTCTGGAACCAGGCCTCAACATATCATATCCCTTGTATTGTGTATATTAATAAACTCGATCGCGAAGGAGCTGCTTTTGGGAAAACTGTGCAGGAAGTAGGTTCGAAACTAGGCTGCTGGCCTGCCGTCTGTCAAATCCCGTGGTTCGAATCTGCTTATGGCCGGTTCCAGGGTGTTGGTGACGCGATTTCTCTCCAAGGTCTCCTTTGGGAGGAAGGTGGCGATGGCAAGAAAATTACAGTGTCCAACTTGGCCACGCTAGAGGAAACGGATGAGATATTTGCAAGCGAATTGAAGAAAGCGCGGGTCGCACTTGTCGAGCTTCTAAGCGAGCACGACGAAACGATGGTTGAAAATTTCTTGGAACGTAATGAGGACCATCTAGCTGTCAAACCAATTGAGATTTTGGAGAGTCTTCGAAGATCCCTTCTCGGTTCAAAGAAGACAAGAGTCATGCCTATCTTTGCGGGCGCAAGCTTCCGAAATATCGGCGTTCAACCTCTGCTTGATCAAATGCTGAATCTCCTTCCAAGTCCCAACGAACGGCCGGACCCAGAAATTAGCATCGGCTCCGGTAAAGGGGGCCTGAAAAGCCTATTGAATGGGAACCTCATTTTGCAAGAAAACAAGAAGGTTGCAACGAAAAAGAAGAAAGAGAAAAATGTTTCCGGCTACTCGGCGGCCCAAACAGCCCTTGAAAAGCTTGAGGGATGTTCTCTTGCTTTTAAGGTAGTGAGCGATGCTAAGAGGGGTGTTTTGGTTTATGTTCGGGTGTATTTTGGTTCCATTAACCGAAACGCATCTCTATTTAACACACACCTTAACCTATCAGAACGGGCTCCTCGGCTTCTAAAAATGTATGCTTCGGAAGCAGTGGAAGTGCAATCAATCCCAGCGGGGCATATCGGCGTTATAGTTGGACTGAAATATGCTCGAACCGGCGATACACTACTTTCATATGCAGGAAATAAGACTGCTCCCCCAGAGCCGCTCAATAAACTACAACTACGCCCGATACCTGCTCCACCACCGGTATTCTTTACGAGCCTTGAACCTCACAGTCTAAGCGAGGAAAAGAACCTTCATGAAATGCTAGCATTGGTTTTACGAGAAGATCCTAGCCTCCATGTTACAATTGATGAGAACTCTGGTCAAACTCTGTTGAGCGGGATGGGTGAATTACATCTTGAAATCGCCAGGGACAGGCTAATTAATGACTTCAAGGTCAAAGCTTCTATGGGCCAAATTGAAATTGGTTATCGCGAATGCATATCAGGGACCTCGGCCTCAATAACCAAAATCTTCGACAAAGAAATTGCGGGCCGGAAGGGAAAGGCGGGTTGCATGGTGCTTGCTGAACCCTTCAATCCCGACGAATTGGACGAGGAACATCTCGAAGCACATGAAAACGTTCTTCTTGACGAAAAACAAGATGGAAATCGCATCACAATACTCGCCCCGGGCCTTATCTCCAACAGCGGTAGTTCCAAAAACACGAAAATCTCCGAAAACCTCTTTCCCAGCCACCTTAATCTTGCCGTGATAAAAACATCCCTATACAACGGCTGCATTGCTGCGTTATCCCGCGGCCCCAAAAACTCCTTTCCCTTACACAACACACACGTAACGGCCACATTCGATATAAACACTCATTTTTTTGGAAATGAAACTACCCCGTCAGCTCTATCCGCTGCTGCACGCCTTGCCACTCAAACTGCCCTTAAGGAGGTGGCATCAACAGTCGCGCTTATGGAGCCAGTCATGCATGTAACCATCAGTGTCCCAGACGCTAATATGGGCGTAGTTGTGCATGATATATCATCAGCTCGAGGTGGTCACATTCTGTCCCTCGATGAAGACATCGAGACCTCTTCCTCATCATCACCCATGTCAAATGATGATGACCTACCCCCTATTGATGTATCCAGGATCTATGTACCTCCCGACCAATTTGGATCCTCATCGATCGCTGCTACTAACAATAACTTGAATAAAATGCGGACTATAACTGCTAAGGTGCCACTAAAGGAAATGGTAGGCTATCTGAAGCATTTACGGAGCTTAACTGGAGGGAGGGGAACGTTCGTTATGAGTGTTGATACGTTTGAAAAAATGGAAAGCCAAAGGGAGAGAGCTGTTTTGGCAGCTCTGGGGGCAATTTAACATTTGTAAAAGCGGTTTTCTCTTCGTCTCCTTTCCTTTTTTCTTCCCCCCAGCTGACTTGTTGAACTATTCCAATATAACTAACTTCTCATTGCTCACAACGGAGCGAAAGTGGGAAGATACCTCCTACCGCAGTCTGCAGAAGCTGCTTAACACGGGAACCGGAAACAACGATAATTTTAATTTTGTAACATAGTAAGCCCAAGGAGAAGTTTTTTTTCTCAGGTCATTTAGATTTGGCTTTTCAAAAGCGGTCTAATAAGACCAGGTGCTCGTAATTTACATACTATCGATAGCTACGCAGCAGTTTTTGGTTATTGAAATGAATATTTAATTTTCAATATCCCTCCTTGGTACGGAGCTGCTAAGCCAGACCATCAGCCAAATAGTAAATACCAATATCACCTCCGCCGCTTGAACAAGTGTCCGCTTGCTTGAACTTGCATTGCACAGCCGTGGAACCTCCGTAAAGTCACGGAGGCTTGGGTAATGAATGGCATCAGCATATTCGCGAGACACGAAGCTTTTAAACCGAGACCACCCTCCCAATCTATGTCCCAAAAGCCAGCACACATTCCGAAGGAGAGGGATTTCAGGCGCAATATGCCAATACAATGGTGCTCTCCACTCGACTCATGGGCCGCGCTCCGTACGGGCAAATTAACAGCCAGGCGTGTTGCAAGGATGAGCATGGTGCTGCGGCTCTCCCTGGTGATGATTGAACGTTTTAACAAAAAGTAGACCTCTGTATCGACGTTATCGGGGATCTCCTAAAACAGCCATACAGCTAGTAGCCCTAAGAAATATATCGGTTGTATGTATCTATTATAACCCCTCGTACCGAAAGCTGTAGGGATTACACATGGCTAAGTTAAAATATATTAAAAATTCTTAGGAACCAGAGCAAATGGCGAGGGAAAAGAAGAAGGGGGAGGAGAGGAAAACAAACGCTGGAGAGGTAGGTTGGCAACCCAGAAGAGACATCAATCCACAGAAGAAGAAAAAAAGATTGGAAAAAGCAAAGATCCCATTCAATTCACCAATTCTAACCTCGAACAAGGGAAATAAAGAAAAAGGAAAGGAAAAGAATGGGACGGAAGGTAACCGACGAAATCTACCAATTATCATCCCAGCCGCCACCACCGCCCCCATCCTCTTTCACCTTTGTACCCACCCCACCACCGCCAGCATCACCAGAGGGAGGCCCCCCCCTTCGCATTGCCGTCGTCCCAATAGCCCCAGGTCTCCTTTTGTTCTCTCCCAAGGCAGCAAAATCATCCCAGAAGTCCTTTCTCTCCGGCTCGACCTTTTGTCTTTGGGATCCAAAATCGGAACCAGGCCTACGCGGTGTCGGCTGTTCTGAAGGAGGTCCCTCGACGAAGCGGGTGAAGGCATCCGCGGCCCCGCGTGTACCGGTTGTTACATTTCGTGTTACTTCTGAGGCGGCGATGCGGGCTTGCGCAGCTAGGTCGGTTTCGGCGAGCTGTTTAGTCTTATTTGTTAGTTTTAGTGTTTTTAGGACTTACCTTTCATTATGGGAAAGTAAGGGGAAGGAAGCTAAATAATGCAGATATAGAGATGGAAGGGTATATTCAAGAGATAAAAAAAAAGAATATGGAAAAAGGAAATACACACCGTCTTCACAGCAGGCTGCAAGTACGAGTCATTAACCGTCTTCGCCCCCTTTCCAACCGTAGTCGCAAACCAACCGAAGCTCTTCGTCAACGCCGCAACGGGATCATTCTGAAAATCATTCAAGCCAGGGATCACTCCACCAGGACTATTGCCATCCTTTTCGTCCGAGGGAAGCGGCATCCCACCTCCAAACCCTGTAAACTTCCCACCCTGTGAGGGCGCTACATTTTCCGGTCTATTCGCATTTTCTGTCCCCAATGATGCAAAATAGGCCTCATTTCGCTCTTTCCTCCCTGTACCCGGAACTTCCTGCTGTGTCACAGGCGACATCGACCTGGTGGGTGTTTTACTCTTATCACCACTGGTGCCGCGGCCCCCGCCAATAGCAGAAATAGACGGCGTACTTGCCCTCGACGCTGGCACCTTCTTCTCCTCACCAGGCACATATTCCCTCCCTTCAACCTTCGCTGCCAACCTTGCCTTCCATTCCTCCCCGACTTCCCCCTCATAACGCTCTTTGATAGTCGAGTCCTCAAAGGTCCGACCTTCCGCGACATTCGAGGAATGATGGTCGAAGAAGAACTTCCAGGCATCATTGCCGCCGAGTTCCATGCGCTGGGTCTCGCCGAGCTTGAAAGCATCCATTGTTATGCTGCGGACGAAGGAGATGTGTACGCCCAGGCCTCGGTGGGTGCCAGCGCAATTTAGACAGATGAAAGTGCCGAATTTGGGTGAGGCCTGATTGGCAGAGCAAGTTGCGATTAGTGTCGATGTTGTGTCAGAATGTGCATCGCATAGTAAAATATGCTAGGATCCATTTGTATACTTCTGTATACATGCGTAGTTGGGAAGAAACATGAAAGGAAGGGAAAAAACGAACCCATTGAGGCGACGGGGCGCCGCAATCACAACATCGATCATTGCCCTTGGTCTTCTGGATTAGGAGGAGCTATATTTTGCACGGGTCGTGCGGTGGATTCACCGTTCCCACAATATCAGCATTGAGTGCTTTAACTGACACTTTATACCAAATAGCGCCCGCTCGGCCCCCAGCCCCCAGGTTCCATTCACAAACACTTTTTCTCTCCATCAACAACACTTTTTCTCTCCATCAACAAGCAAGAAATAAAAGAATAAGGCGTAACAATCAAAACACATTCAGAACAAATGAAAGCAGCATACCTTACTCCTGGTCTCCGGATCAACCTCCCAAATCTTCGACATCTTCTCCACGCCTTCGTTCCCTTCCTCACGGAGCTCTCACACCGCTCTCACACCCTCTCTTTCACACACACGCGCGCGCTCTCTCCCGCTCTGCGTGTGTATATGTCCTTGACCCACTCCTAGATAATGCCTCCCCAAACCAATGGTCAATGGCTAGATATCCCTAGTGCCTCCCAAGAGCAGATATATATATATATATATATATATATATATATATATATATATACCCCTGGACAACCCCTACGTGGATTTTTTGTTTTTCTTTCTCAACACGGCGCTATTAGATTAATATAAAATACCACTTTTCTCCAATCCGCCCCAGGCGCACTTCCGGCGGTCCTCAGGCGCAGAACACGACGGGTCGTAATATACGTAAATGGGGTCCTGCAGCACGTCGAGGTACAGGGAACCGGGAAAAGATGGAAACGAGCAGCGGAGAGCGGGAAACGGCGGCGGAATTGGGAGGGGTAAGTTGGCGGTGGGGGAAAAGGAGAGTGGGATGCTATCCCGAACAAGAGAGAAATCTGGCGTATTATTTATTATTGGGCTTGAGACTTCTTTGCTTTGCTATCCTGCCCTTCAGTTCTCAATTTTTCTTTCTGACAAGATTTATTGCTTGTACCCCCTCCAAGATAGGTAAACTTCCACCAGTCCTTTCAACTTCAACACGGGTAGCTCTGTGGCTGATTCCTCTATCAACTCGCCCCTCGCACCATCTCACAACAAGAGATCTTCTTGTAACAGTGCAAATGAGTCCAATTGCCTTGTCTCCGTCCTTGCCTGTGTTTGTGAGAGGGAGATAGTATGGGTGTGGGTGTGAGCGAGCCATGTGGAGGGGCGGTTATGTGACCACATTAGGACTAGCGTATAATTAGTTAATCGGTCAAAGCTTTACAATACAAGTTCAATCCATGGATTGCTTGGGACCCTTCTCTCGTGATCTCCATAGTTGAGCTGACGTTGAGCTATACGCCATCACTGGCATAAAAACACATTGTTTTCTTCTTTAAATCCCCGAGAAAAACAAAATGAAGGAAAAATGGAAATGTTGCCAAGAATTCCAGGTCCCAGGCTAGAACAGGCAATTCTGTAACAGGGGGTTTCGCGCATATACAGCGGCATGGCATCACCATTTGTGGGCAATTTTTTCAGTTATTATTATGTTATTGACAGGTGGCATACCAAGCTCAGTGATTCTACAGACTCAGGTATTTTGGGGCGCGGGATGCAGGATAAGATCTATGATGAACAGTGTATTCATTCACCAATGAAGCCGCTCTTCCTGTGCTGAAATACCAACTCTTTCGAGTGGGCACAAAAAAAAGAGCGGACTGGTTGAAAAAGCTAAATTGCAACGATATCAATGTGCAACTATCTATTCCTCCTGAGAAAAAGAGGTTAAGCCGTCCCCTCAGACCTCGGTTTAGAAGGCGTTCTAATTGTCGATCCATCCACCTCCACTCAAGGATCTTTCATTGTTTGAAGTCATCTGCACTGTTTAGTTTGGTGAGCATGAGGCCCAGGAAAAGCTGATTGAGTCACACAGATGGTCTTTTGTCTATTGCGAATTTATTATCAGTGGGCTTTGAAATCTATCTCGAAGGCTCCGAAAAGCTAAGTATTACTTTTGTGGCAATCAACCCTTTCCACAGCTCACGAGATTGTGTACCAACTGCTACCACGCCATTC